CAGTGGACGGACCTGGACACTTGAATGTGACAGTGGACAGACCTGGACACCGAGTGTGACAGTGGACAGACCTGGACACCGAGTGAGACAGTGGATGGACCTGGACACCGAGTGTGACAGTGGACAGACCTGGACACCGAGTGTGACGGTGGACAGACCTGGACACCGAGTGAGACAGTGGACGGACCTGGACTCCGAGTGAGACGGTGGATGGACGTGGATGCTGAGCACGGTAGTGGCCCCAGAGCAGGACTTGGTCTGTGCCCTGCTGGGACTCGTGGTCAGAGGCAGGTATGCAGCCATCATCCCCCACAGCTCTGGGCAGGACAGTGCTGAGCTTTTGTGTGTGCGGTGTTTGGCTTGAGAACCTTGCTCAACCAGTGTAAGTGTAAAGCCATGTAAAATGGAAGCCAGCACATTACCCAGAGCCAAGCTTCTTCCTGCAGGGTGGCTGCCGTGGGTGGACTTGAGGGCCACGGCTTTCACGGGCATGCATGGGTGGAGGGCCACAGGTTTCACGGGCATGCGTGGGTGGAGGGCCACAGGTTTCACGGGCATGCGTGGGTGGAGGGCCACAGGTTTCACGGGCATGCGTGGGTGGAGGGCCACGGCTTTCACGGGCATACGTGGAGAGGTGAATTCATGAGCATGTGTGGAGAGGTGGAGGGCCACAGGTTTCACAGACACGTGGAGAGGTCTACAGCCGCAGAAAGAGGTCTCGCTGTGGTGCCCCTTGAAGATGCCTCCAGAAGGAAGCTCGGTCCACACTCCATGCCTGTGCACTCCTCACCAAGATGTTTTCCTTACAGAAGTCCCCATGAGAAGAAGAAGAAGCGGCGGTCGAGGTCTCGGACCAAGGCCAAGGCCCGGTCCCAGTCCTCCTCCCCCAGCAAGCAGGCAGCCCATCGTCCAGCGGCCCATGCCGCCCACTCGGCCAGCATCTCTCCTGTGGAGAGCCGGAGCTCCAGCCAGGAGCGTTCCAGGTGACCGCGACCTGGGCAGGTCTCAACGGGAACAAGCAGAGAGTGGCAGGTGGTGCCAGTCTCTGGGACATACCTTGGGCGGGGATGTCAGCTGGCCTGGCCTCCGATGGGAGTGAGTTGGGACAGCTCCTCAGAGCCTGTTCGTAGCCACGCTATAGCTGAAGACCCCCCCGCCCCCCCCCAAAGATCCCAGAGGTCCTGCAGTAGCCTGCTTGGATCCAAGGGTAAACAGCCTTACAGACCGGGGTGGTCTCAAGCTCGGCCATGCCGCGTCCTGCTCCACAGGGTCTTTCTGACATCTGCCCTCAGGAGTGGGCCGTGTAAAGCCCAGGGGAGCCAGCACTCCTCTGCCACAAAGGCCAGGGTCTAGCTAACTTCCAGCCAGATGAGAGTCCAGAGGAGAGTGCAGTCAGGTGCCCATGGCAGGGACCCGGGAGCACCGAGGCCCAGCTTGAAGCTGTCTGGGCCCAGGCTGTGGGGAAGCGCCTCCTCCCAGGGGCGCTGGCCCCTCCCTACCAGGAGGGTCCCATGATCTGGGTGCTGAGCTTTCATGGGTGTGAATGGACATGATGGGGGCTGGAGGTGCAGAGAACAGCTCACACGAGCCAGTCAGCATCTGAGATGCCTCTCCAGGCTTAGAGGGGGTGAGCACCTCCAGGCCTCGGCTGGGAGCCTGAATGTGAGGCACAAGTGCCTCCTTCCTGTCGTCTTCCAGAGAATTAAGGGCATGAGCTGGGCTCCGGTGCCTCACACCTGTCATCCCAACTACTCAGGAGACCCAGGGTTGAGAGCTGCAGTTCAAAGCCAGCCCAGGCAGGAAAGTTCAGGAGAACCTTTATCTCCAGTGAACCACCAGAAATGGTGCAGTGGTTCAAGTGGTAGAGCACTAGCATTAAGCAAAAAGAGCTCAGGAACAGTTCGTAGGTCCTGAGTTTAAGCCCCACAACTGACCAAAAAGGAAAAAGGAAAAAAATGATGTGAAGACAGATTTTGAGCTAGAGTCACCTTAGAAAGTAGCTTGAAGTGGGTATAACATAAAATGCACGTTTGTGATGCTTGTGGTAATTTTTAGTTTCTGGAAGCAATGCAGTGTTTCCGGCTGGGGGGCTGCAGTGTGGACGCTCTCAGTCACTGACCAGATGTGTGTGCGTAAGCTTCTGTCCTTCTTTGTATTAGGGGAGTTTCTCAGGAAAAAGATGGCCAGATCTCCTCAGCAATCGTTTCCTCTGTGCAGAGCAAAATCACTCAGGTACAGTCCACGTCGCGTCTGCCCCTTCCAGTCTGTGGCCGGCAAGGCCCTGTGCCTGTGGCCACGGAGGTTTAGAACGAGGCCGAGGCTGTGACTTTGGCCCCATGAGAGCCGGCATCAGCCTGAGCTGCAGCTCACAGACCTTCCTCCCTGTCTTACTGTGTAGGATCTCATGGCCAAAGTAAGAGCGATGCTCGCAGCTTCCAAAAACCTGCAGACCAGTGCGTCCTGAGGCACAGCCACCATGGGAGCCAGTCGTGCGCATCATCGCCTGCTGGTGGGGCCACAGCTCCAGGACTCTGGGCACCGAAGCGGGAGCAGGGCAGCTCGCGCCTGCAGACCCCCACAGCCATCTGGGTTCTTCTCCAGACTCCCTGGGACCGTCGGTGGCTTTTGTAAATTTTTGATGACATTTTCAGCTTAAGATTTTTGACCAGCAATCTCTTACCTGTATATTTGTAAATAATATCATGTTTCTGTGGAGATGTATTATCGAATAAAATGGGAAGAAAGCTCTTTTCTAGCTCACAGCCTTGAGGTGGCTTCCTTCTTTGGGCTGTGGCTCTGTTTATCGCATGTCACCTGCAGTTGGACTGTGGGTCAGGACGCTCCAGGAGTGGCCTCTGGCCTGGCGTGGTCCAGCCCCGCCTGTGGCTCCCGTGCCTCTGGCCTGGCCTGCCGCAGGCCACCCGCGGCCCTTTGTCTTGCAGGCTGGCACCGTGCAGTGGTGACAAGGCCGTGCGCCAGGCTGCCGTTGGCTCTGCAGGCGCTGCCGGTCCACTCCCGCCTGGAGGTTGTCCTGGCATTCAGGTGCCTGGGACACACCGACAGGCCCGGCGGGGTTCTGGCTGTCAAAGCCTCTGACCCCACAGTGCCCCGCCATTCACGCCTGACTCCCCAGCCAGGCTGGCCTCCGGGATCAGGTTTTACCTTCGGGTCAGCCCATGTGGCAGACCCCATGCTGGTCGTGGGGTAGTGCGGGCTGGGCAGGCACAGTAGGGACCCTGGAGAAGGGGTTGAAGAGGGGCTCACATGGAGCAAGCAGCCTGCCGGTCCCTTCACCAGGTGGTTCCTAAGAGGTGCTGCGCTGTGTTCTCCCCCAGCTGGTGGCTTGCCCAGCCAAGTTCTGTGCTCTTCCTGAGGTGCTTCGCCAGGGCCCAGGCCCCTCCCCAGTGGCCAGGCCACAGCTGCCACCCAGTAAACGCGGTGTGCCTGAATGCCAGTAGCTGCACACGTGCCCCTGGCTGAGACCACAGTGGGCAACAGAGAGCCCAGGATCCAGGTCACCGGCCACCAGCCTGGGAGTCTGGGCGGCACAGAGCCCTGGTTCCCTGAAGGATAACCTACAGAGCAAATGAGCTGACTGGAGTGAGGTGAAGACTTGCTTTAATTACAAGCTCATTCACTCTTCAGCAGGGGCAGCTGGGGGAGCAGGAGCGCCAGGCGTCTGAGTGATGGCCGAGAAAGCGCATTCGGCGGCCTCTGTCTTACCCTGGACATGTCCTGCAGGACATGGCGTGGGATTTGAGACTGAGGTAGAAGTGATGCCCAGGTAACACCTCACCAACTTGAAGCAACCTGGGTTCCATGGGGGCACCAGCAGCAAATGGTGCCAGAGCAGAAACAGATTTGCAGTAGCCAGACTACCACCACGGGACCCCGCTGGTTCTGCCACAACACTGTGCAGCCATGGATTCGCGGCTTCCAGAGAAGGCCTCTGCCACCAACTCAGCCTCAGCAGGGCTCGGGCCCAGCCTCAGAGCTGCCCACACCACTCGGACCAGGCCGGGGGCAACAGGAGTCAAGTCTGGGGGCAGTTAGAGCCAGAGAGGGGCCATAACAGCAGGCTGGTCCTAGAAAGATGGAGTGGCTGCCAGAACCAGAGGGAGCGGGTGAGAACGCACACACAGTCGAGGAGATCTCAGAGCTGTGCTCAGCCAGGCACAGTGCAGCTGGCTACGGCACCGTGGGAACAGCTCCTACCATTAGAGTATGGGCACGTGTGTCCAAGAGGAGACACTATGTGACCCCACGTGGGCGGTCCCTGGCACCAGATTCAGAGACAGCAGGGTGAGGGTCCCAGGGCCCGGGCACTTGGTGTTTAACAGGCACAGATTCCATTTGGGGAGTTGAAGGGTACCTGTGGCCTCAGGCCCATCTAGCTTGGGTTTTCTGATAGCTCAAACTGTGGTGCACCGTCAGAGTGATTCACAAGTGGACCACCTGGGACTGCCATGTTCTAGGGCTGGGCGGTGGTCTCCCCAGATCCTTCATGTTCGAGAACCTTCTGATCCCTGAGCCCCCAGCCCCCAGCTACTGTCCTGTCATGTCAGCAAACAGGCAAATAGGGGACGGCCCTTCAATACTGGTCAATCACAGCATTAAAGACAGACCTTTATTGTGAGCACACCTTGTTAACGTTGGTCCTTTAAGCTAAGATGTGGATGTTAGGGCAGCTTGACTCCGTGTGCTGGCAGCCCACCTGCTCGGAACTCTTGGCTGCCTTGAGGGATCTGGACAACCACAGCTGCCTGCTGCTGGAGCAGACTGTTGCGGCCACAACTGTCAACCAACAGCCGGCCCAGACGTCACAAGCCTCAGGGAGCTCCAGGTCCTACAGCGGCTTCCACCCAGGCCAGGGGCGGAGCCCTTCCCCGTGCCTCAGCAGAAGGCCTGGGATTGGTGCAGGTCCAAGCTTCATTTGTGTGGTCCCCTGTGATTGGTAGAAACAGCTTTGGCCTGCCCCCTTTCTAGTATATAGGCCCCACGCGGAGGGTGGTCTAGGTGATGCCTTCCTGAGTTGCCCCTGCATTTGTAACATTTGATCCAATAAAACATTCTCTCCATGGGGCTGGGAAGGTGGCTCAGTGGTAGAGTGCTTGCCTTGCATGCAAGAGGCCCTGGGCTCGATTCCTCAGCACCACATAAGCAAAAACAAAAAAAAGCCGGAAGTGGCGCTGTGGCTCAGGTGGTAGAGCTCTAGCCTTGAGCTGAAGAGCTGAGGGACAGTGCCCAGGCCCAGAGTTCAGGCCCCACGACTGGACCCAAAAAAAAAAAAAATTCTCTCCAGTGGTCTCTGAGCTTCCTCATTCATAGAGGGGCTGCCGTGATGACAGCAGTAGTAGTGAACTTCCAGAGCCTGGCCAGGGCATTGAATGACAGCAACAGGGTAGAGTACCAAGACTGGAAGAAGAGCTAGAGGAAGCAAGCTGCAGACCCTGGCTACTGGAAGAGGTCCAGAGAGCTGCCCAGCCTTCAGAGTCCCAGACACGCTGGACATAAGGGGGATCACACTGCCTGTGGCCGGGCTGCCCAGCCTTCAGAGTCCCAGACACCCTGGACATAAGGGGGATCACACTGCCTGCGGCCAGGCTGAGGCTCCATCAGCAGAAGCCTTAAGGAGATGCAACCCTACCGAGTGCTGCTGCTGCTGCTGCAGGCCCAGGATCGAAACAGGTGCCATGTGGGAGCCGCTGCGTATCTGCCTGCGAACGCTGGGGCGATGCTAAGAGCCTCAGCTCTGCCAGTCCAGCCCCTAGGCTTTGCACACTCAGAGTCTTGGAAGAAGAGCTGTTCCTGTTCTTGTTGGGCGGAAGCCCTCAGCTCTAGCCTGAGTGCTGGTCCCGACATGACACAGGCCTTGCTGTGGCTCTCTTCACGTGCCACAGCTCAGGCCCCAAGGAGACCAGCAGCCACCAGGTGGCCCAGGACCAGACTGCCGTGCAAGTGGCCAGCGGGTGAGCCTGGCCCAGCTGGCAGCTGCCAGGACCCGTCACCTGAGCAGCCGTGCAGGAATTGGTCATCGCCAGCCTGTGGTCCCCAGGTTCCAGCCCACATGGGCCCAAGCGGGTGAACAAAGGGGGCAGCTCTCCACAAGCTATGTGCACCGGTGGCTGATGGTGACTCGGCCCCTTGTTGCTGTGGGGCCGGTCCTGGCGCCGGCCTGCTGTGTGGGCAGGACAGCAGTGGTTGCGGCCCGGTGAGGGAGGCAGCAGATGACAGCAGAGTAGACGGAGGGTTACGGGAGTGCGGGGTGTGTCGAGGAGGAGGAGCACAGTGACGGTAAGAGCACCCCGGGCACTGTGGGGGCGGCGTGACGGTCCTGCGCACCCCTCAGTCCTGCGCACCCCTCAGTCCTGCGTCCTTGAATGAAGCGTGTCTGGAACCCCGATGCCCGGGCTTTCTTCACCCCGAGCCTCCTGTGCCTGCAGCCACCATCCCAGTTCCCCCACTTGACCTGCTCACCTCTGAGGACCCCGTTGCTGCTCCCCACCAGCCGCGGGGGAGGAAAAGCTCCTAGTCCTGCTCTGGCTAGCAGGTGACCATGAGTCTTTCACAGGAACTATTTGCCCTCTTTTTAAAAAAGAAAAAGAACTACTCTTAGATCTCATTAGCACGCGGTTTTTTTTTTTTACATACAGAGCTTTGAACTCAGGGCTGGCTTGCTCATTTAGCTGACAATCTACCACTTGATTCATTCCTCCAACCTGACTTTTGCCCATTATTTTAGAGATGGAGTCTCATGGTTTTTTTCTGCCCAGGCTGGCTTCAAAGTCGGCTCTGAGGGTTCTTTGGTGTGTTGGGTGGATATGCGTGTGCATGCATGTGCTCACATGCATGTGTTGTGTGTGTCAGTACTGGGGCCTGAACTTGGGACCTTAAGCTCCTGCTCAGCTTTTTCTGTCAAGGTTGGCACTCTACCTCTTGAGCCATGGCTCCACCTCCGGCTTTTTGCTGGCTAAATGCAGCTCAGACCAGTGCCTAGGCTGGCTTCAAGTTCATCTTCCAGACCTCATCCTTGTACGTGCTAGGGTTATATAGGTAATGAGCCACTGGCACTGGGCTCATTTTCTTTTCTTCTTCTTTAAAATTATAGCAAGGACTTATTTTAGTAGAACAGGGAGGAAAGAGAAACACCTGTTCCCCAGACAGTAAGTGGAGTTAAAGGCTTGTCTTGTTTAGGTTTAATGCGACTTCTGGCCCATCTCTGCAACAGCTGTTGTGGGGAGAGGGGAGAGGCTTGGCAGGGGACCAGGTGTGCCTGGAGAGGTGGCTTTGCTGGCTGGAGAGCTGACTAAGGTAGAAAGTCAAAGGGGACCCTAAGCCGCCAGGACTGGTGTCCTCAGGAGACCAGTGGGCTTCTGTGGACTCTGGGAGCCCATGGAAGGTGCTGTGTGCCAAGCGCCGCCCTCCTGAGGCAGTGCCCTACTGACCTCAATCCAGGACTCTAGAATCCAGAATCCACAACAGTAAGTTTCTAGCTGGGCACCGGGGCCCTGCTGGCATCCTAGCTACTCAGGAGGCTGAGGTCTGAGGATCACGGTTCAAAGCCAGCCCCGCAGGAAAGCCCATGAATTCTTACCTCCAATGAACTACTCAAAAAAGCCGGAAGTGGTGCTGTGGCTCGACTGGTAGAGTGCTCACCTTGAGCAAAAGAACCTTGGGATGGCGCCCGGGCCCTAGGCCCTGAAAATAACTAAATTCTCCACTCAGGCCAAGCCCTGAGCCCAGTCCTCACTCAGGGTCAGGGTCCACACTGCTGGGGCTTTGATTGACCCTCTCTGCACCCCACTCCCCCCCCCGAGCCAGCGTGCACGGGCCTGGCCGGGCCCCCTTGTCCCTGCTGTCCCCAGTGCCAAGCCAGGAGGACAGACCTCAGGACACTGGGTCCAATGAACCTGGGCTGCTCTTTTCTTCCTTTCACTGGCTTGGTGGAGGGAACAGTTGTCTCCAAGGAGGCCAAAAGCGCTTCCCGGCCCCTCACGGCTGCTGCCCACCATCCTTGCCTGGTCTCCCTTTCCTTGGCTGGAGCAGGTATGCAATGGGAGCCCGTGCCTCACTGTCCTGACACAAACGACCGAAAGTCAGGGCGCGCCTGGCCCTAAGCAGGTGTAGCAGCCTTGTCTTTGAAGGAAGGGCAGCGAGGACAACATGCGCGGGCACTGTCTTGAGAGTGGAATCCTCGCTGGCCACCTGCTGGAGCTCTGCACCTGCCCGGCACATTGGGATTTATCATGGCTTCCACGGCGTAAAAGTTGTGAGAAGGGAAATAGGTATGAGTAACCACATGGCACCCAGCAGGCACCAAACCCATTCTCTGCTCCCAACAACCGCCGGCTGGCTGGCCATGTGTCCCTTCCTGGGCCAGGCTCAGCCCTGACTGACTGCGGGGAGTGGACCCCGTGGGGGGCAGACGGGGTGGGGAGGAGTGGATGGGGGTGGGACAGTGGGGGGAGGGGATGAACAGGGGAGGGG